GTTTAACATAGTTGGTGTCTTGTAGTCATTTGAGCGAATATACCTGGTGCTCCTCACAGATACCAGTTTTAAGTTCACAAGAAGCTTAAGGGAGTGCTTATAGAGTATAAAATGACTTTAACTTGTGAGTTAGTGATTGTCACCCTGGTGCAGCAGTTGCCTCGCTGATCCTACCACTCCTGTTTCATTTGTGATTCCATGGAGCACTTTTTCCTCTCCCATTCATTATCACATAACATCCCTGTGGCAACTTGAGAAATTGCTTACATGGAAAAGTAATAGCAGGAAAGTATTTATGTATTTTTAGCTTTCTTCTAACACAATGTAGCAGCTGGAAACAAGGCCAAGAGCCAGCACAACGTGCACTGCCAGCTCTCCGTGGGCCACCAGAAAGCGTTCATCAGACCACAATGTGAGAACCATTGAACTGACTAAAGAAATGTGGCACATACAATAAGCATTAAATAATCATAATATATATTTAAAAAAAAAAAAGAAACTTGAGTTCCCAGAGCTGTTGCTCAAGCATAATACCAATTTTGAGTTATATGTTGTTTGCTGGTTTTGATAGAGGAACACCATGATAGTATCAGCTAGATGCTGTGGAGAATCACTTTTGCTTTACTTCTTCATAATCCGTATTTGCTGCAATATTAAATATCCATGGAACATTAAGCAGTCATCCATATGCTCAAAGCTTTAAAAGCTGGGAAAATGAGGTGTGGAGCTAGAAGTTGATTTGAGTAGAAATATACACTGCAATCTAGTTTGTTCTGTTGGCTTGCTGTTTTTGTTGTTTTTTTGTCTAATGGATTTCTTTTAATATTTCTTTTTTCACTTACTGCTTAAGCCTAAGCCTTGTCGACTTACCTTTCAATTTTTCAGCAAGGGAGGACTATTGCTATTTCAAAATGGTAAAATGAAAGTAAAAGACCAATGAGTGTTTTTCTTTTTTTGCAGTTTCACCTCTACCAAAACTCTTTCTTTTCAGTCTCAAAAGTAGCTGCCAGATAAATCTGGAACATATAGGGCTGCTTCTGGGACCTCTCTAGAGAAGTGTTTAAAGCTCAAAGTTGGCACTGAGCAAAATAATTTCCAAAGCAATAAAATCCAGTGCCAGGCTGATAATGATACATGATTAGGAATTGGGAGGTGTGTGTGTCTGTAGGGGGATATAGGAGAAATGGATCTGCTCCAGCAATGACAGAAGTGAGCACCCGTGAAAAGGTTGTGCCAGCATGTATTCAAATATAACTCTGTGCTAAAACTTAAGGAAGAGTCAACAGTCCAAGGGAAGACCTTACAACATTTATTTATGAATCTGAACCAGGTAGGAGTTGGAGTATGACTACAGTTTTGCAACAGCTGTAGAATAAGGAAATCCTTTTCCTAGTAAAATAGTTTGGAATAAGTCGTGCAGAGGAAGCTGGTGTTAACTGAAGGCTCTTCCAGGAAGAGGACGAAGAGGCCTTGTTTTACCGGCACATGCACTAAAGATTGGAAAACCAGGAAGATGCCTCTTGTGAAAGAATTACAACCGATTCCTCAAATATCAGACAAATACTGCATCTCTGGGCGTTCACCAGTATACTAACTTTTAAAATCAGGGGTATGAAGTGTTTGATGGTAGATTGGCTATAAACAGAAATGCCTTGACTGAGTCAATTTTTAAAGCAGTCTCTGTTCTCCTTCTACCTGTCTTTCAGTTTAAACTTCTTTGAAATCAAGCGGCTAAAATTGTTTAATCCCAGGAAAAGTATAAGCGTATTTGAACTGTTCCCCAGGCAGACACAAGGCCAAACCTCATTTGTATCTTCTTGTTAGTGTGGCAGAGATCGGATAATTAGACTGAGATTTTTTTGTAGCATTTTGTTTATATTAAATAGTGAACTAGTGCAAATAAGCCCTTTTTTGGGTGGGAAGGGGGTGGGGTGGGAATGTCATAATTTTCAATTCACTCCTTAAGCCTCATCCACAGGTTGGCCTGGATTAAAATCCCATGGCTGTGAACAGCATTTCCAGCCCTCTTATAAAAGACCTCTAATTCTGCCCTGCAATAAAGATACCTCGGTTTTACATTGAACTTTCCTTTTATTACAGTAGGAGCCATGTGGAAACACTGCTTGAGTTTGTGTGGTTGCACTTATCAATGATCTGTAAAAGCAGCAGTTGAAATAATAACATAAGGATTTCAGGAGCTGTAAAAAGCCCCCAAAAGGGTGATCTTGTTGGGTTGTTGAGGCTGTTGTAACCACTTCAGCAAAAACCTGAACAGTGTCTCCAACACAGAAAGGAGGGAACAGTGACGGTTTGCAAATTGTAGCTCATCTTTAGAGCTTCACAGAGAGAGAAAGCTTTAGGAAAACTCCTGCAATCTGTATTTCACTTGGGATTTCACTAGAATGGTAGGAGGAGTAGATGAAGCTTGAGAGTGCAATTTAAACAAGAGAGAAATATGAGCACTATGTATATGCGTGTGAGTATGTATATGCATGTATGTAAAAGTATGCAAAAGAATTTTATTCTGTGCTTTCAGTGGTGCCACCCAATACCAGTACAATTATGACTTCTTGTAGCTGTGCATTGACTTGCATATTAAAAAGGTGGTTTCTTTTTAGAGAAAAAAAGGAGAGCTCTGAAGGGCTTATGCAGCATAGCTTTGTTTTTACATTTGCCTTGCAAAGAAACTTAATATTTTAATTTCAAATACTCTTTATAATAACTTCAAAATTTACATAAATTTAAAGCAACAAAAGTGCAACATGTGATACCTCAAATATTGTGACCGCAGGAGACACAGCCACAGGCTTGGCTGCTTTTGCTCCATCCTCCCAAGCTGTTTGCCTGCTTGTTACTTCGATTGTTGCTAGTGATCAGGAGCAATATTTTCCTTAGAAACGTCTCTTGACTTGAGAAACACTGGGAGAATCAACTGGTGTTCAGCACCTAATTTGAAATTGCAGTTTGGAAGTGGCACGATGTTGGCGTGGGGATGCTTTTCTGGACAAAGCTGCTTGCCAACGGAGACAGAGGCCATACGGGTCATGCATCAATGCCTGGGTTCCCTGTGAACGTTATTACCTCATTCTCCCTGGTGGAAGATTCAACTTACTGGCAAGGATTTGGCCTTATCCATCTTTTCCCAAGTGCAGTCATGGCAGATGCCAGCCCCAGCAGGATGGGATGGTGGAAAACTAAAAATGCTGGCATGGCTGACAACTGCACTGAGCTTTTCTTTAAGAGAAGAAATGTGCTCAATTTATAGTAAGAAATAATGTTTTAAAAATTTATTTATTTATTTATTTTTAGGATTTCTTTGCATGTTACCTTTCTAGATAACTCATGTTATCTCCATCCTAAGTGTTCTGATATGTGAACCAGTGGATCAAAACAGGGGCCCTAAGGGTTAGTGTAAAACAGAGCCCCAGTGACACTGAAGCTGTCATGTCCCACCAAAGCAGATAAATCTTACTCTTTCTCCTTATGCTTTCTCCTCAGTAGTGCTGAATTTGCTTTGGTTCTGGTGCCTCATGTTTTCCCCAGTGTAATGTGGTGGCAAGGGAAGGGAGATTTATGGGTGTGATGGAGAGGAGTGAGGGGGGCCTTCATCCTCCACCGCTGCCTCCTCCCTGTCCCATTCCCTCGTCCCTCTATAATAGGACATGGAGCTAGTAAGGCTGCTTCACTAGCAGGGCTATAATTAAAAACAGGAATTTCAAATGCAGCGTTATCATATTGGAGTTAATTTTTTTAAAGCTGAATGTATTACATTGGAAAATTACTCAGCGTGTGTTTTGGGGCCCAAGCTCCACAGTGAGCTCCACTGAGTGGAGTAATGACAGTTTTAGCAAGCAGTTTCCAGGAACTGTGCACGTATCTTATATGGGCACCTAGGTAAAGGGGATAGATAGATACTAGCAAGCAACCTTAGTGTATCTTGTGAGCAAATCACAAGGAGTTGATGCAGGATCACTAGTTCTTTGTGATATTTTATGTTTTTCTCCTTAAACTTTTGGGTATGTAAGATGAATGTCATTTTTATGCTTTCTTATGTAAGAAAGAGGCAGTTAAGAGGCAGTTGTAAGAAAAGCAGCATGGCAGTTTTTTGAGAGGAATCAGGCCGACTGGCTTCTGGCAGAATCACTAGTTAATTTGTGTACTTAAGCTTTTGTTTATTTTGATCAGCTTTTTAACTTCAAATTATTGTAAACACTTTTGTGCTTCCATATCTATATGCTATTAACAAGGAGTTTCAGAACAATGCAAGTGAAGTATTGTGCTGCTTCAGGTTGTTTCATCTTCTGTCTGAACATAAAAACAAAAGGCTAGCCTGACATAGCATAAAGCTTGGATTTAAATTGCTGTTAATCCTTTTTTTTTCTTTTCTCCCCAAGAAGTTAGTTATTTGGTACTGTGCTGTCTGCCCACAAATAATGGGCAGCGATGTCCTCTACAGGTCTGGGTTAAATCTGGGTGTTCAACTTTAAGCAGTGTTAGTACTTGTTACTCTTCTCTCCCTAAAATATAATGAGATTATTAAACTTAGGATGCGTAAGAAAAATGGTGGAATATGGACCGTAATAAAAAAAACAGCATGCAAGCTGCTATTTCTATCTTGACAGAATAGCATTACCAGGGTCCCTTCCTGAATTCTAGAACTGGTTTGTGACCCGTTTCGTTGTTTAAGCTTCTTCCTGTCAATATGTGCTTCACTTCACTTCTCATTTCGTTTTCATATCTTATAAACTTTCTTGGATTTTCAGTAGTCTCTCATTTCCCATCTTGCTGTGCTCACTACTGTGCTGCTCCCCAAGTTTCCATTCTGTGCAGTCAAGTAGCCAGGCTCATCATTTCGTTGTGCAGCTTGAGCTGTTCTTCCCTCTCCTACATACTTGTGCATCAGATGGCATCTCCATCTCTGACGGAGCTTTATTCATTAAAATGTGAATGTGCATAATATTTTCTAAGAGGGTTGTGCTTTTTTTCCTCTTTCTCTCTAGCTGGCCTGTGGACGGTGTTCACGTTAGGGGGAGTGGGGAGCAAAGCAACGCCGCAGCTGGAGCAGAGCTCCCCTCTAGCTAACCAGAGCCTCCTGCTTCTGCTCGTCTTGGCCAACCTCACCAACGCACCAGACACACCGAATCCCTACAGACAAGCTATTATGTCCTTCAAGAACACGCAAGGTTTGTATTTGCTCTTGCTTTTAAGCATACACTGATGAAAGTGAGGCACTATGGTGTTGTGGATGTTTAAATATTCTCTTTTTAAAACTTACTTTCTCTCCCGTAAGCCCAGGGAGGTGTAAGAATAATTCTTTGTTCTGGAAATTTTGTGGTGGAGCTCCTCAGCTGCTGGAATTTACTCAAAGGGATGGAGAGAAAACAAGACACCTTCCTTCTGGATGAATAAACTTTAAAAAGCTTCTTAATTTTGCAAGATATAAATAAAAATGGGAGATATGGCAACAAGTCAGCTATCTGAGAGTCTGCAGAGCTCCCCTGGAACTTGATAGGACTTAGAGAATTTCTGGTTAGCAGACACCAAGTTAGAGTTGAAATAAGCAATGAAATTGTCTTATCAGCTGAGTCGAAGTAACTGACGTGTCCTTTCCTGTATGGGAAATGTGAGGAGAATTTGGTTAATTATACTGAAAACACTTCTACTGTAAGTGTTGAGCAGGCTGAGCTCGTTCACATCCTAATGTGGCCTTTTCATCTATCAAAGCTTTTTTGGGGCAATTGAGATGAAGATCTCGATACATTTTTTTAACCAGCTGATAACTTGTATGAATAACTTATTTTATAACTTTGTTTAATAACTAGTGCTCTAGCTGACTAATAACAAATAGTAGATAGCTAGTAATGCTTCATTAAAAACTATTATGCATGAATCATTATAAAAAATTTAAAGCCTGATATAGTCAAATAAGTCAATTCTAGTCAAAATAGCTTGCAAACCTGTATTTTTCCTAAATGTGTGTATTTTATAGAGTCACTTATTATTGAGCAAGCAGAAACTTGTTTCCACTAGCAATATTCATATACCTGAGCTTAAATTTCATTCCTGTGAACTTTCTGAGAGTCTGGAAGAAAGAGAATCATATAGAAAAGAGAGGGTGATTGCAGTCATAATGATCTATAGTATAATAAAATAGGAAAAGTGGCTTTTTAAAAGTAATTTATATAATTTAATGGTGACAGAGCTAATAAAATTCAAGATAGTTATCCTTTTCTCCTATCTGCTTAAGAATATTTTATCTTTTCGTTTGGTTGCTTTAATATTCTGTACAATCATACAGGATTTATTGCTGTTACTGCATTCTACAAGCTTTTTAATAACATTTAGAAAACAGCTTACTGGTTTTTAAAATCTTCTCTAATAAAATAAATAGTGCTATGAATGCAAATGATGTAGTGTATAAATTCACTTAAGAGGGGCTTGAAGGTCAGGGGACTCTCCTCAGCTAATGATCGGTGGCATCAGCATCCTTAAAAAAGCACTGATCTGATTTTACTGCCCATGTCAAAATTTTACCTGGGAAAGAAGAATATTTCTATGAAGCAGGAGTGTTTTCTAGCATACTGACAACCAGGGTTTGCAGGAAAGGAGAAGAAACAGTAATTCAGGGAAAAGGCCCAAGGGATCTGCCTTTCAGCTGCCTTTTGGTAGGGAGCATGCGGGAGAGGCAGCTGAGTCCAGCTTTTTTCCATGGCTGTCCTGTGCAGAGGCCAGGAGACCGTCTCTGGAGCAGCCGCCGCACGAGCCGGGAGTTGTGGCTCTCCCTGGGTTCCTACAGCCCTTGCAATCCCAGTGTTTTTTCCTCGCCAGAAAGGTTGGAGGCATACAACAAGTGGCAATTGCCATGAGCATCCCCATCTGACAACTGTCCTGAGCAACTGGTAGCTCTTTGGGAACTCTGCTATCAACATCCACCGAAAAGAAGGGGAAAAGGGGCCAGCGCATATTTCAGCGAGTGAAATTTCTATACTTCTACCAGTATAGAGGTTTATCCAGAACAATGGAAAAGCTTGATAGGAAATCATGGAGCCGTGCAGTTTGTGTTGGCTTCCAGTTCCTGTCCCCGGTCACCTGACTGGTGCAGATGCTCCCACGATTTTCCGTGGAGATGCGGGGTAGTACCTGCCACGTCCTTGGGGCTTTAGGAAAGGGAAGGCTCAAATGCAGTGGTACTGCCTAGCATGCCTGCTCTTGTAGTACAAGCTGAATAGCTTGTAAAATAACAAGTTTTGAAATTTGAGTACTTTGTTCTTTTTCTTCGTTTTTGGAGGCTTTTCTCCCTTAAAATTCCCTCTGTCTAAAAATTACTGTGCAAAAGGTACTTCTGCCATACCGTTTTCTACAGCAGAACTTTCCTTAGTTCATGCACTTCTCTTTTTCTCCTTGAAGAAGGTAAAGAATTCAAAGATCCGTAGTCTGCAGGGTCTAAGGGATTTTAGTTAAATTCTTCAACTTTGGGCACCTTATTTGTGGAAATGAAGTAATTTTTGCATCCAGACAATAGCATACTTGAGCACCCAAACTATTGCTGTCCCCAGAGTACACTTTTGCCGTGAAATTGCTATTTTTCCATGTGCTTAGCTTTTTTGCGTTCTCAGAAAGGATAACTGCATGCTGTTGCAGAAGGTTATGGAAACAGAAAACTCTTCTGTTTTATTTCACTTCTTGCTCTGCCACAGCTTATATTGTACATATGAACAAGCTACTGCTACTTGGAGTGTCGTTAGGTTTTGTGACTTGGTGTTTTAAATCATATTTAATTGCACCATTAAAGAAATATCCTGCATACTTAACAGTCATGCAACACTTCTAGTTCAGGCCTCTCAGTTTCCTTGCAGTGAAACACGTGCTTCAGCCCTTCATGCAGACTAGTCCGGAGGAGAGTAGAGAGTCCACCTCGGTGCAGGTGAAACCTGGAAAGTTTTAGCTTCAGGGTTGCAAGGCCCATTCATAATGAAGGTCCTGTAACTGCTGCTTTTGCAGCAGCCCATGGGATTGCTTTCTTTTTTTTAACAGTAAATGCTATCTAGAAAATCAGAGCACTTTTATTTTAAAAAACATCTGTCTTGTGCAGGTATCTCACCAGCTCTCATGTGGGAGAACAGCCTCACCTTTTGGACACCACTGAAGCTCTCTGAGGTTTTAAGGCCGTTGGTGATAGTAGTCCTGAGTTATATGCTTTTTTGCTCCTTTCTTACTCTGGAAAATATTTCACCCAGAGATTTTATAAAACAAACATGTAAGTAAATATTTTTTGTTAAATATGTGTTTTGGTTTCTGTATTTCAGATAACACGGCTTTTTCTTCATCAAACCCACATGCTTTCCAGATTAACTTTAACAGCCTATACACAGCTTTGTGCGAGCAGCAGAAATCAGATCAAGCAACTCTTCTTCTGTACATGCTTCTGCATCAGAACAGCAACGTGCGCACATACGTCTTGGCCCGCACGGACATAGAGAACCTTGTAAGTATTGATGTGTTGTCTGATACTCCAGTGGGATTGATCCAGGGAAGCTTTTATGCTGCTGGCTGTTCGTGTTCCCCATTCTAAGGCAGCACCAGCTCTGACCAACTCATTCACCTTCATTTTATCATCTCAGCAGTGTTGTGCAGACCATGGGGCTACAGTGAAGGCAGCTGCCCGAGGCCACCAGACTGAGCCAGCCAAAAGCTGCTGACCTCTGGGCAGGCTGTGAAGAACTGGTTGCGGATACTGCCCTATTCGTGACCTCATTTTTTATTTTTCAGATGTTCAGGCCAAAAAGCAAGCTTACCATGTGTGTTTATGCATAGTAGTTAACAATATGAGCTGGAACTTCACTAATATGACAGATGTCCTACAGAGCTGACCTGTGCAGATGTCTGAGATTGAAGTTCCTCGAGGACTGGTAGTTTTTCTTTAGAATTGCAACTGGACTGTCATTTTATCTGTTTTGAGACAAGGTTGTGGTTGATGGCCAATGTAAAAACCACCTGGCATGGTTTTTTTGTGTGTTATAAACTAGCTTTTGTCTCCCTCTATGTTTAATAATGTCAGAAACCACTAAGAAGTCTTTCTTATTAAAAAGCTTTCCTTTAAAAATATAGTGGCTGTCTATGGGAATTGGTAACAGAATAGGGAACCTTTTTCATTTTAATAATTGAAATTCTGCCAAATAATTAGATCCCATGCATGTTTGATGGCAGCTGTGCATTTGGTCGCAGTCCAAGTTCTAGCAGATAACTGCGGTGCTAAAATCAGAGCCGATAGACACCACTGTTGGCAAACTCGAAGAAGATGGTTGATAGTGAACTGACGATTCAAGACTGAACTCCTGTGTTGTCTGTTGCGGGTTATTGAGGCCAGGGCTGAGTCATTTTGCATGAATACTGTGGACAAATTGCCACGTTTAGTTTTCTGGGCTGTTGGTGTGCGGTATGACATCTTTCACAGCTGCTAAACTTACAAATTTATTCTCTCTCTGGAAAAATAAAGGCTAGGGGTGTGTATGTGTGTTATTTTATAATTGTGGTATTTCATATATTATAAAGCTTCCAGAAAAAGCACAAAGTGTGTATGTCAAAACAGCTTCAGATGCAGATGCTCAAGCATGGTGCCATGGAGGAGATTATCGTATATTATCACCTGTCTTTCCTCCCCCTCTCAGAAAAAAAGAAAAAAAAATTGACAAAAATCTTTCAGCAATATCAGAAGTAAAAGCAACAGTAAAAAGTTGGCCTTCTGAGAAGAGTGAGAAAATTGAGAAAAGAATTATTGCAGAGTTAAAAATGTATTCATTTTTAATACCAAAATGTGAAATCCATCTGTTCTGTCTCATATTACCCTTTTTTTGGTGTCACTTTCCATGTATGGTGTTGGGCTTTGTGATCATCTCTGACACCTTGCTGCAATCTGCTCACCTCTAGCAAGCTGGTAGATAAGGATGAGCAGTGAGCAGTGATGAAGAGCAATTTTCCTAGGAACAAGAAGACTGGAGCACATCCTGAAGGATCTGAAAAGAGTTGGGGAATTTAGTGGGCAAAGAAATCATGATCTCCCTGTTCCAACCCTGTGCTAAAAGCAGCTAATTTAGTCTTGAAATTGTAAATAAGACAACAGGGCAGGAATATAAGCTGCATTTTCTGCTTCCGTATATGGCAACTGAAAGAGTGGGGTGAACATACTCCATGCTATTCTGGTGTTGCACTAACATCTCCATATGTATAGGCTATTGCAAAATGCAGAGAGTGTAGGCAAACACTTTTTTGCTTAAAGAAAATGAAAAAAAAACAACTGTGAGGACTTGCTGCTTGAGGCTCAGAAAGCTAATTTTGTTCAGTTTGTCAGCAAGAGGTTTCAGAAGTGCCTGGATGTGTAAGTACCTTCCAGAGGCTGAGCAGAAAGGACTCTCTAGACCTGCAGGGAAAGGCACAGTAAGGACCAGAGGCTGCACGTTGAATCCCACAACCTGGGAGAGATGGGAACAAACCAGTTCAGGTAATAGCTCATTGGAGGAACTGCTGCCAGACAAGGATATCTTTCAACTGAGGGCGGATGAGTTTTTGGAAGGATATGACTGACTCGAGCATGGTAGTTGTGCAGGATTAATGTTTGTGATACACGAGGGAGCAGGTCAGCAGACACGCTGAGTCCTTATCTGAAGTTCGCAGGGTGCACGAGTTGTTGCTATTTTGCCTCACTCAATGATCTTGCGTTCCCTCCCGCCCCTTTTTTCTTTAATACCTGCAGGTGTTGATGCCCAGGAAACATCACTAGTAGATGTTCTGTGGTATTTCCTAGCTTTTGCTCTAATTTTCCTTTGCTCTTTTTGTGTCTTGTTTTTTTTTAATTTGTAAATTGGTGCAATCTGAGCTTTTTTTTTTACCTGTTATGACAAGTTCTGTCTCAACTTGATTCCTAATTTGCATTTGAATCTACAATCAAGCTGAACGTAAACGTAATCTTCAATTATTCTCTATATTGCTTTATCATTAATAATGCAGCATATCTTTTTTTCCCCCTTATAATAATAGTCTCTCTAGTAGAATTAATAGGCCTTTTTGTGCCTTCCCTAACTTTTGTATGTCTCTTTGTATAATTTTATCAAATAATTGTTTTAAGCCTCTGATGCTTTCAGGGATGTGCCTGGCTGGAATCTGGCTCTGTTACTGAAAGCCTGTGGAAAGATTCTCCAGGAAGTGATGGGACCAGTAAAACAGACGCAATTAACAATTCTTTTCCTCAACATAGTACCATCACTTGCAGATGGGAAAATAACAAGCCTTCTCCTCTTTGCAGAAGCAGTTAATGTTGTTATTTCAGATAAAATCACTAGTGGGATATCTAGATGTGCGAAACGAGTGCTTTCATTTGACTGCTTTTTGCTTTGGCTGCTGAGCTTGCAGTGATGCTCTGTTTGCTGCTGTCTGTTCTGTTGCTGCCCAACATGGTTAGGTCAAAATGATGCATATGATGATGCATGTATACCAACTGATGGTATGGCACTACTTTATCCAGTGGCATAACTTTGGGTGAAGAATGTTGCCCCCGAATGGCTGTGCTGTCTTGAGTTGGGTCTGTCACTGCCCATCAGCTATGATAAAACTCTTCACCCTTGACCTTGCACTGTAGTTATCAGCGCTGGGTTTTTACCTGCCCTTTGCTTCGAGTTGCTTTTTAGTGGGGGGCTGCTTCTTAGTAAAATGTTACCATTAAAAGCTGCTCCTGATGGAGGAGGAGAAGTGGAGTGATATTAATTTCATGTGCATCGACAAGAGTCTGCATTTCAAGAAGTGGTTGTTGCATGTCTTTTGTAGTTTCTGAAAGCAGAGAGTTGTTCGTTGGAGAGAAAGTTGGGATGTGCCCAAGTTTTCAGAATTAAGAACTGAATCATTGTAATATTTCTTATAACCAAGACACCTATTTGCCTGAGAGCCGCACCAAGTGTGATGGACACAGGGGGCTACGGGCTGCCCAGCACTTGGCCACCCCATGCCAGTTCCCTGAGAGATGTCCAAATTTTGCTTTGTGTGCATAATATAAAAGTGTAGAAATGTGTTTCAGTTAAAACTCTATATGAGTTTTATCATCATTAGAATTCTGTCTTTATCTTATGTCATGACTCTGCTTTTTAAATGCTGTCTGGTTGAGTTATTTTTCTTCTGGTAGTAGCAACACTGAGGGGCTAGGTGTAACCAAAGGTCTGGATAGGTCGTTTCCTGGCACAGCAATTTGTGTGCAGAGGAAAAAGTGTTTGCAGGAGGAAAAGGTAGAGGAGCTCTATGAATCAATCCAATTTTTGTATTATGAGAGGTACATGCAGGGAAGGAAGCCTGGGCATGGGGATTTGGAGAGTTGGGGCAAGGCTGGCCAGCCTTATTCTGTGGGGATTTTGACTTGAGCTGTGTGACACATAGACCCTCCCATCACCTAACTAAAGAACTCTGGTAGCATTATGTCCTCTAGAAATAACTGCTCCTTCACCCACCATGTTGGAGTCTTCATATAGAGGAAGGTGAACACTGGAAGTTACCTATACAAGGTTACAGAGGAACGTCCTTTTCCCCCAACCAAGGAAAGGGATAATTGTTTTTGGTATATTGATACTCTACAGAAACAGATTTTTACCTTTGCTATCAAGGTTTATATTCACGAAGCTTAAAAAATCAACTCCAATTTTAATAGAAGAGAGAAGTTTCCTAAGGATCCTTTGAAATTCTAAAGGAAGGACTTTGGGGAGGCACAACTACTTTTTTTTTCTCCCCCTTTGTAGTGGGGTTGCCTTGACCCTGGGCAAAGCATCGTCAGAAGGTTTCATGTCCTGCAGTGTTTAGATCAATCTCCTTGGGCCGAATAGAAGCCGGGCAGAGTGCGTTCCATGTGGTCCAACTGCTTTGGAACTTGTTGATTTTTAACAGAACGTTCTGGCCATCCCAGAGCCTCGCGTTGCACTCGAGAGCCCTGGCATAGCCCCAGAATAGGTTTCACATGATTCATCCAGCTTCACTCGGCTTGTTTTTAAAAACAGCAACTCGTTAGGTGGCTCGATCTCTTGGAATGAGTTTGGCGTCTCATTCATTATCTTGGAATTAAGGAGGGAAAAAAAACACCTCTGCAAGTTCCTTTTAAATTTTTTTTCCAGGGTATTTGGTGATTTAGGCCTATTTCTGCAGCTTAGGGAAGCCACATCACCCTGAGCCAGTGGAAAGCTCATTTTCTATTGGTAAAGAGACAATCATCTGGATTAAGTTTAGAATAATGTTCAGGTATGCTTGATGTGGCAATGAAATCTCCTTTTCATTATTATTGCAAGACTTTGGCTGAAGCTGTTAATCCTGGTGGAAATGTTGCAAGACCTTGGGCTGAACTCTCGTAATAGTGTCAGTTCTTCTTGGCTCTGTGTCATCTCGAATTAGAAAAACAGGCCTTTTCTAGCTTTCAACCCAACCCAAACTGGTTCACTCCTAGGGTTATCTCCATACACAAGTATGGGAGCTGAGCTTCAGGTCATAGAATGGGCACCTGAGGTGTCATACGCCTGGCCGTGTTTGATGAGGATCGTTGTTTTAGACCACATTTGCTTTAACAAATATGGTCAAAAACAACTGTTTCCTTGCTTAAACTGGTGGAAATATTGCTTAATAATATTTTTCCCTCCTATATTTCAGAGGGAAAGTGAAACTTTGAGTGCACGTGGTAACTGGTATGGCTGGAAATCTCATTTATTAAGAATTGAAATTCCAGGTCTCACCACAAGAAAGAATTTGTTTAGACTCCATGGTGGAGACCGAAGAAAATAGATGGAAGGTGTTTGAAGGGTTTACGTCAGTGCTTAGCGGTGGTTATTTCTAGAGGGAGTTATTGCAATGCTACCATCAAGGGACAGGGTAGTACAAGGGAGGTTTCTAATCTTCTCTCTACTCTCTAAGGTGCTTGAAAATCCAAACTAATGTCCACTTTTATTTTTCCTTCCCTAAAGGTTTTGCCAATTCTCGAAATCCTGTATCATGTTGAAGAAAGGAATTCACACCATGTTTACATGGCTCTCATAATTTTGTTGATCCTAACAGAGGATGATGGCTTCAATCGATCCATCCATGAAGTGGTGAGTTGCTGTTTTGGTAAATATTTTTGCAGAAGTACGAGTCGTTTAAATGCCTATTTCTATACACATGCTTCTGCATACCTAGCTGACTAGTTCCTTGAGTCAGATTGATTTTGAGGTTGTATTATTCTTCTGGATTTGATGGCATTTGCATGTTTTCTTTCTGTAAAAAACAGTAAACCAAAGTTAGAAGCGTCTTCTCCAAACTTTCCCTGGTAAAATGAGCAAAAACGTTCCCTCTTAGAAAGGAGATACTGCATATACATGTTATTTTCCCTCTTTCTGGTGTTTCCTATGGCACGTTAGCACAGTAATAGGCAGGCTGCCTCATAGGTGCTGAAAGTTTGCCATGGAAGTGGTGGGGAGAGTGGAGAGAGAAAAACAGACAACTTCTTAAAATTTCTCTTTAGCAAAAGAACCTTTGCTCAACCAGTTTGATTCAGCTGAGAGGAGTTTTTAGCTGGGGTTTTATTTTCCAAACTGAATGTTACTTCCTCTCTTGGCATCCCTTTTCTGTCTTTCTGCTAGATTAATATCTCTTTTATTTTGTCCATATAATATGATTCAAATTTTGACTAGCTTTGGCCTTTGACCATCTGTGCTGGAGAGTACCTTGGATAATTATGTTCTAGTTTCCTAGTTTCTAAAGCTTCCATAATGCAGATGATGTCTGTGTTGATTTTATTTGTTTTTCTGGCTGGGACATGGAAACTCTATTTTTTGATTATGTGCAAGTAATGAAATGTAAAAAGCTGGAAGAAAAATATTTGGGTATCTAAACGGATTTTTTCTCTCAGGTAAACTCCAGACTGGAGCCTTTTTCAGGGGGAATGTGACATTTTCCCTTGGTAACAAATGCCAGAGGTGTGCAGTATTTAATTTCTGAAATCCCTGATTATTTTATATACTTTGGTATGTAGAAAGTAAGAAGAGTTGGCACTTATATATATATATTTTTTTAATGAGCACCTTTTAGGGAGAACTCCTGTAGTAAATATGCAGGTGATTGAAATAACATTTTTCTGAAGACTTCCTTCTGCAGCACCTTCACATCTTGAACCTAGATGTGCAACTTGCATGTAGGTAGTGTGTATGTTAGTCATTTACCTCGGATCATAAATTGATCTTTTTGAGGGATTCAGCCCACAAGTTCCACTCCTGCCTCATAGTCTCTTCCCTCATCTTTCTTCATTCACTTTGAAAGCACATGGTCTTTCAACAAATTACTTGCTGGATAAGTAAAAGTGGAAGATTTCCCTAGAATTGTTAATGAGAATCTAGCTGTGGAATGAAAGCATAAATCAAGTTTCCTTGTCCAGTTTGTTCTTGCCTTTGCAGCTTTCCCTGCCAATACGGTTGTGGTGCTTTCTGTGTAATGTGGATATTATTTTACTACTTCTATTTTAATAGAGAAAAAAAAAGTATTTTGTTTCTCTTACTCTACCCTTACCCCATATTCTTAGCCTCAGTGTCACAGGGATGGAAGGGTGCAATGAAGGAAGAATAGGTCCTCTTCTAGTGCAAAACTCAGCTTTGTACCTTGAAAGTCATCTGAATAAACTAGAACAAAAGGGAAAAAGAGTCAGTGACTGTGATACCAACTCTTTAGGATTTCTTTCTATCTAGAAAATGTGTAATCTGTCATGCTCTAAAAACAATAACAAAAGTTACCTTCTTGACCTGCTACATTGCTGAACTTTGTAGAGGTCTGTGAATATTGAAATGCAAATGTAAGCATTGCATCTCAGCTGGGGAACAGCTAGCGACCAGATCTGCTGGTGGTGGGAACCTCTGGACCTAGGATGGGCTAGAAATATAGTCAATGATACACTTTACAGTGTGAAGGAGAGGCAAAATTTACTGGCACAGGAGGTCCCCATACCCATCCTTTTGAATGATCATGTGAATGTGCCTTCAAGGGACAGGGTTACCTTTCAAAAATGCAGTAAAGAACTAGTCTCATATTTTCTTAAATATTAAGGACACAACTCTTAGAGGCTGGGAGGGTATCACAAGGAAGCAAAGCATCCATCACAAAGCTACAGTTCAACTCTATTTCACTACAAGTATTTACCAGATTTTAGCATCAGGAATTTCTTTTTCCATAACTTGGCTGAAGTATGAAGGAAAATAAGGATGTATTTTAGGTCAACCTGTTTTTCCCTTTGCTGCCCTGTGTGCTATGTAATGTTCCTATAAGCAGCATGACCATACAGTCCATTTATGGGATATATTGCTTTGTGGTATCACACCCGCATTTATTTATTGATTTTTTTGATTAATTTTAGTAAGCCCAGTTTTATAAATCTTGTGATTATAGCGACTGAGAAAGAGCTCAGGAAACCACAGAAACTCTTAACTGCTGAAGCATTTTTATTTAAAATAAATGTGGTCCTAACCGCCTGGAAAGTATGATCAGAAACATAGGTCCTCTTCCTGCAACTGCTTGAATGCAAGATGTCACTGTAACCACGCAGAGACCAAATTCTTTCTCTAATAACAACAACAGGATAAACTAGTCAATGTGAGAGCTCCATAAATGGACAAGTATTGGTGTTTCTCCAAAAAAGAGATCAGATCTCAAACTAACTGAAATAGTAATCTATAGTACTACTGTAGTACTTTATGTTGTAGTAAATGGTGGCAAACTATGGAAATCACAATGTAAATGTTTTATTTTCACTATGCAAAAACAAACAAAAACCTCACAAGCTGTTATGGGGAACTAAGGATGGAGGTCTCAGTGCTCAGGACACATAGGGCTGAACCATTAGCCAGTGACTCTGGTATGAAGATGTCCACAATTGAGTTTTTCCAGTTTTTGACTGAAAGGATGGATTTCAAGTGAGGTCTTTGGAGGTCATGGGGCATGAGGATCAGCAGATATCATTTTTCGCCTCACACTGGGATAAAAGCAAATTGTGAAAACTTGAAGTCTTCTGTGAAAGAAAATTGTGGGTTTTGACCTAGGCCCACTTGCAACTAGCTGTTCACATACTGCTTTTTAACCTCCCTTCAATGAGAAAAGAAAATCAGAAACTCAGTTTTTAAGTTATTGCAAATAACGCCTGCTGAAAATATTTTGATGGACTACTTTGCAAATTTAATTTCAATAAAACTAGCTGTTTTTGGATATATCACCCTTAGTATGTTTTTATTTAGGCTTTTCAGTATTTGTTTTGTTTTTCTTTTCCACTTTAAAGTGTGGCTGCTGAGAGATGGTGATTTCTTAACTTCTGGAGTTGCTAGGTGCTGCTGTTGCTTTGATACTGGTTGGTTCTCTTTATTCATTATCAAAAATAGGCTGTAAAAGAATTACTTTTGGTCACAGTAGATCCAGAAAGGAGTTGGTAAGAAGAACCAGATTTCCTAACTGCCAGTTGCTTTCTGCAACTGCTGCTAACTTTCCTGCTACTTTAATTATATAGGTGTCATGTCTGTAGTCTGCCTTGTGTTTCATTATTGTGGTTTCAGAAGCTGAATTCTTTCAATACATTTTGTGGATATAATAGTTTGAGTTGATTTATACCCTTGTAGCATAAGAATTAATATTACTGTCTTCTTTCTTTGCTTTGCATGCATATAGGAGCAAGATATATAGGATTTTCTTCTGAGCATTTTTTGTATATCTGAGCGTCTTGATGCTCTTCAATTTGGTGTGAATATGTTGCTAAAGCCTCTGTAGGTGGGTTGTTTAGTAGGGGAGAAGGTCTGTTCAGAGCGGGAGATGAGCAGAGCTGCACTGAGTGCTCTCATCTCCTCACAAAGTTGTATCAAGGATTGAAAACACTATCTTGACATCTTTCAAGTTGTCTGTAAGCTTTTCATGCATAAAAAGTTTAATGTGTGGTTAGGACTGGCTGTGTAAGGAACATGGGATTGGATACAAGTGGGGAGAAAGAGAGAAATTTGTCAAGAAACGGGTGAGAATTGGGGCTGCTGAGCTAGGAAATGAGAAAAGAGGGAGGATTGGAGCAGAGTGACGAAGTGCTACAGGAGGTGAAGTCAGATGGCTTCTAGATGAGGAGAAGGGTGGGAAATGAAAAGGGAGGCTGGAAAGAGGGAGATCTGAGAAGAAATGGGTCAACTGGCCAGGGAATGGGCTGCAGGGAGAGAGAACGGGGTGGCTGAAGGAATAAAGGACCTGGTGGGGCAGGCAGGTCCCTGCTTCACTTGCGGGGAAGGACATCCTGGAGGAACCTTCTCCAGAGCGGCTGGGAAGCAACATGAGCCCAGGTTCATTCGTGCGAGGAGGTTGCCTTCCCTGGTTCATCCCTAGGGAATAGCTTCTGGGTGACATCATCAGTAAGTTAATATTTTATCCCAGGATAAGTCGACTTTATCTCAGAGATGAGGGGAGGAGGGAAAAAAGCAATTCTTGGGCATCGTTTTAGAGCACGCCTCTGTATGTTTTCAATAAGAGTCTGGAAGTATTTCCCCTTATGTAATTTTGGCCTCGATTTACATTGTGCGTGATGTCAAAACAAATAATGTGTTTATTACACATTTTCACATTTACATTCTGTTTAAAAATGTTAAATTTTCAGTCCACCGAGCATTCAGAAGTCAGGAAATGAAATGTGCAACCACAACTTATCCCTGTAATATTTACATACTACAGTAGGTGACCATTTTTCTTAATGATCATCTGTGGTTCTTCATATAACAGTACATTTTTCTTCAGGAGATTTCAAGGGGGTGCAGTGGTCAGCTTTGGATATTTTTCACGGGCGAGGCAGTTCATGTATCCCTTGGTATAAAACCTCCTCTTGAAAATGGATATATTTACATAGATACAAATTACCTCTGTTTAAGAACTCACAGCCCATTAACTGCAACCTAGATGGCTGTGTCTGTTCATTTTAGCGCTCTGCAATGGTGAAGAAAAAAAGAAATCTCTTGCAACAGCTTGAAGCCAGTCCCTTTGCAGCCAAGCCAGGCTGGAACATGCACCCTAGCATGTATTGCAGCTTTACCTCATGGCAGCTCCCTAATTCACT